GATTGTGTAGTTCACTCTGCTCTACTCGGAACAGCCACCTTTGCAGCTCATTTGACGCGCCCACAAAGTCTAAACAGTTGTAGAAGTAAATGTTGTTCGGGGCTCAACGCCTGCTAATCAGTCTTTGGAGTTCCGTCAGGAAAGATTCAGTGGACAAACTGTGTACTATCTCTAAATGCACCGCACGAGACTGCATGCAGGTAAACAGACACCCGTATCGCTTCTTCACCGATCTCCCGCACTTCACCAGCAAGGGGCCGAAATAATCTTCTCCCATCTTCGCGAACGGTTACTCCCCCGTTTGAACCCAGAATTCGGGAAAGAGTGCCATCAGCTGAATTCCAGTTACCGCGCTCTGGCGACGACAAAACGTACATCTACCGATGATCCCCTGTATTGCGGTTCTACCACGTGTTATCAAGAATGGCGTTCAGTTGGAGGTTATTTCCCACGTGCCCATTCTCGACGCGAAGGTGGCGTATAAGCGAGGTGGTTACTGGGCTATTAGCTAACAAAATGATCGGATGTCTAGCGTCGAAGGCCAAGGAAGAATTGTCCAGTCTTCCTCCCACGCGTAGCAACCCTTCAACCAGTATAGGGTTCAGCTTACGCAGCGCGTTTCGTTGGATTGCAGTCCGTTTTGGGTTCTCTCCTGAGTTGGTTTGTAGCGTCATTGTTTCGAGGGGAAAATGCTGCAGTTTTACTACTCTCACAACGTTGTGCTGCGCTCTCATTAGGTCGTCCGTCGACAAAGGTTCCACAAGCAGCAATTCGTTAGGCCGAAATCCTGTCATGATCATCATCATATGTTTAAATCTTATCCCTCGAATCAATCTGCTCCAGGATGCGAAGCCTTCCAGTTTCCTTATAAGGGAGAGGTGACGTCGCGTTCTACCACCATGATTAACCTTTTGGCTTCTATCAACTCAATGGTGGGCGGGAGTGGGGGGTTGCAAGCACTGCCTTCTCGTCCTTTGACGCGGCGGTCAGGAACGTCGGGCCACGGAGCCAATCGCGTAGCTTGTCCAATGCTTTCAAGCCTCGGAAGCCGTGGTCGGCTGGGTTATCCGCAGATTTCACGGACCTCCACTGGTGTACCTTGGTCTCTTCGTGCACTACCGTCAGTCGGTTGAAAACAAAGATGCTGAACCTAGTGCTGACATTGCTCAAATAGTGTGTTACAATGGCGGAGTCGGTCCAGAACGTGACGGTATCTTTGAATATACGGAAGCACTGTCGCAACTGCTAGGCCATACGCACCGCTAGCACGGCCGCTGTCAGTTTGAGGCGGGGTATCGAAACGCATTTTAATGGGACGACCCGGGCTTTGACAAAAAGTAATTCCGTCTTGCGCTCGCCGTTCATGTGCTGTCAACATACGTAGGCTACCGCTTTGTATCCCGTTTCAGACGCGTCGGAGAATAGGTGCAGTTTNCCGTATCTCGCCTAGCCTACTGAGGCTGGTCAGCCATTGCTCCCAATTCGTCCAGTCCTGGTGGTCTAAGGGTCGATCCAACTCTGTCCTTTCTTTGACAACGTTATTGGAGGAGGATCTTTCCCGGCAACAACCAAGGTGCGACAAACCCGAGCGGATCGTATAAGCTGAATACCGACGATAGCAGCCCTCGTCAGGTGGGATTCCTCTCGGGTAGCTTTAGTTGAAAGATAAACTCGTCTGACTCCGCGCTCCGTCGAACCCCCAAGGTCGGCTCGTTAGGGAGTGGCTGTGTAGTCAGGTTGAGAGACACGACTGGCTCTATCAGTTTCGGGGACGTTGTTCAAAACTAAACGTGAGTTAGACAACCATTTGGTTAAATGGAACCCTTTTTCTCCAGCAGATACTTTAGCTGAACTACGAATCGCGAGGCTTTTCTTGCGTCGTCAACGGTGCCCAGGAAGTCGTTGACGTAAAAATTAATAGCAACGCTAACTGACACCGAGGCCAAGAAGTTGTTTCCCTATTGCGAAGCTGTCCGCCGACGTGCGAAGTTTGTGCAGAAGGGCGAAGAAACCGCCCCGAATGGATGAACGATCAGTCTATAGTCTACCGCCGGGTTCTGCAAGTCACCATCGGGTCACCCTAGCAATCGCAGGGCGTCGCACTAATCCTATGATATCTTAATTTGGGGAAACATTTCTTGTATGTCGGCTGCCACTGCCACTGCTCCTAACCGGAATCAGTATAGCACGTTAATCAAGGGGGTGGTCCAGTTCGGCCCCTGCAACAGACAATCGTTAAGGGAGAGACTGCCGTACTGCGCCACACAGTCGAATACCACGCGTATCTTCCCTGACTTTCTTGGATTTGTTACCGAGTGATGTGGCAAGTACCACCGTCTTTTCCTTCGTGGTTGTGAAACGTCAAACCGTTTCATGTCTCCCAGTTGAACGTTCCGTTACATTGCCACGGCGTATGGTCAACGGAGATCTGTGTCGCGGATAAGTCACCTTTTAAGGTACTCTAACCATTTTGGGGTTATCCCGTGATTGTTCGGCAATTGGTTGTACCCCGTCCTTCATGGCAACGGCACCTCGAACTGGTCGGGTTGGTACCGTGTCCCTGTTTCGGTTTACGGCGAAGCGTTTGGTGATCAAAGTGGCATCGGATCCGTTCTCAATGAGCTCCATCGCCTTTACCACCCCACTGGGTGACAATATGCCCACTTGTGTTACCCCGAGACGCAACTGCTTGCCCGCCGATTGAGATAGTAGACATACGCTGGGTTTTTGAGGTGCCGGTAACTGGGTTTCTCTCATATAATGCAAGAGAGTACGGTGGCTTCTTTGACACCCTATTTGCCTGCATCTGCTACGGTTCCTACAAGCGGCCGCAAGATATGAGCCCTTTAAACAGATAAAGGATACCTCGTGCCTCAAGCCTGCTTTCCAACGGTCCGGAAATCTTAGTTGCACAAGTTTCTTGCACGCGGAAAACTCGTGATTCAAACGACACATGGGACATCTGGGCTTGCCACGTTCCCTACTGTCGCACAGTTGTTCGCGTTCCTGAAACTTCTTGGAATCTCGTTAGTTCCTTGGTGTGATGTCTCTCTCCTTGCCTACTCATGCTGGTAAGTTGTCTAAAGCGACTGCTAGCGACCTTGGCACTGTTTCGGAAGAATCCCTTTAGCTCGGCGAAGTTGGGTTTCCTCCCTAAACGGTCATTAACCATCTCCTCCTCCGCCCATCGCTGCTGTATGTCAGCCGGCAGGCATCAAACTATTGCCTTTAGGGGGGGTAGTGCGTTCAAAACAGCTTCGTAATTAATTTGAGTCAGGGAAATGAAACAGTTTTGCATGTTCATTACTTGTCTTATTAACGGAGAACAATATCTCCTAATGCAGGCCCACTCAAAACTCTTCTTGGTTTTTTTCAACTGACTTTTTTCGTGTAGAACGATCATGCTTACTACGGCGGAGATAGAATTCCAAAGGAATGGAAGAACAAATATTATGAAAAATGCATATTTAGTTTACAAAAGTTGGTCAACATGTTTTCCGCTCTGCTTTATGGATAGCATTTGGAATTCTACACACGATACCTGACAAATCTGGGCGTGTGGCACGGATGAAGCCGTGAACGGAAATGAGACAAGCTAAATTCGCTTGGTTTTTGAAAGCCCAAGACGCTCCATAGTCCCAAGGTTTTAATATAGGCTGTTGCTGTGTATGGCACGATTGTCGGGCTGTACGTTTTCGACGGAAACGTAACGGGTAAGAACAATTTTGCTTATTAATTTGTTTGGGACACGGCATACTTGCGAATGTTACAAGATAGTTTGGTACCTACCATCCGGTGAATAGAACTTGAACTTTGTACTACCACTTGATTCCAACACGACTGTGCACTAGCGCACAATGCTCTGCTGCTGAGAAGTATCCTCGGTTTGGAACCTAACTGCAGACAGATTGACAGCGGTGGACCGAAGCAATGATCTATAGGAGAACCTGATCCGTCCCGTTTGAATACCTCCAGTAGGGATATCTAAAGTGAACCTTTTATTCCCAAAAACCGGGAACGATGAAGGAGCTTAAGCAGATTAATGTGGCACAGTGCGACAGTATTCCAGCTGCAACCATTCTGAAGATGAAACAAAATTATCTTCACCTGACTTTGCTATGCAAAAAGCAGAACGGAAAACATGTCTTACGAAAAATATTTACTTATATTCAACTTCTTGAAGTGTCATCTATATCTTGCTGCCCATTTTATCGCAAACGACAGTAAAAGGATGCAGCAATTAAAACATCCTGTTTGTGGTGGGGCAAGTCTTTTTGAAGACGGAAAAAGGTGTTCAAGATCAATAGGTATTTTAGTTGTTAAACATGTATTCTATTCCTAATACTTTTTCTTTTATGAGTGCAGCCGATTTTCTTTCAGTGCGATTCCAACATGAAGCAACTGGAAGAATTGGATGGAAATTCGTCAGATAACAATACATGCGAAAAATGTTTTAGGTTTATTTTGTCTATTGAGTGCTTAGGTGAAACAATTGATGCCAATGGATGGAAAAGACTTCGAACATACAGTGAGACGTGGCACGTCTACGGTACTGCAGAATTCGTTAGCTGGGCTGATGAAATACGTCAAAAAACATGGAAAAAACAAGTTCCCGGTCGTTCTTTTAATAAAGGTGTTATCGGTTAGTACTTATAATAATAATGCTTTATTTTGCTCGGTGCCATCCGGACGAACCCAAAATTTGTCGGTTAAAATGGATTGTGTTAAACGCGAAACACACAGGCGATTTAAAAATACGGCGGACGGAATTACCGCCAGAAAATTCGGACGGGAAAGTACTACACAGCAAATGTAATATACTTTTTTCTTTTACAATATTTATCAGCAAATAAATTGTCTTGTATAATAAACTCAACTATGCACATGAAAGCATCTGATTACAGTAGAAGCTTTTTTGAAGGTACCTTCCAATCAGGATTAACATGATAAAGTAGGGCTGAGCGACGATCAAAGGGATTTTTTCAATTGGTCAATAAAGTGCGTTGTAATCATCACAAAACATGTGCTTATAAGCCCATTGCGAGAAAGTCATACCGTGGGGCTTATAGGAGAGTATGGAACAGAGAGGACGGAAATAGTGAAATGGAATTTGAAGCCCGCGGTAGTCGGATAATAGTGCGCTATTTCTTGGCTGATATCCAGGCACACCGAAGAGTCGTTTCTCTAGATTATGATGTCGTCAGCATCCTGAAGGTGTGATATCAGTTCACAAGTTTGGTATGTACCCCGCGCGGTTTGAATTTATAAAGTGATCTCGGTTTTGAATCGTTTTGCCAAGCTAAAGTGAAATATCTCGGGATATTTCACATTATACTCACCTATTTTTACCGGTTTTTACCTCACCCGTGAAATATTGCAATCTATTTCATAGTACTAAACTCTGAGTGGTTTCGACTGGTCATTGAGAAACCTATTTGCTGTTTAGAAGTTTAACGGGTTGTCCTTCTCGTACTTTTTCCTCTACGATTATGTGGCCTTTTTGTTCCTTTTTCGGTTCATTTTAACGTACTACTAAAATGATACACGGGCATGACCACTGTGGTATCAGTCAGTGTCAGAAACAATTTGAAAGGGCGATAGATGCAGGGCATGGTACCGCCAGAGATGTTGCAAATTATTCAAGCAGGATTATTTGCTTCACAGGAAATATCCATCTCTGAAATGGATATGTAGTCATTATGTTTCTTTAGTGGAGAAGTGCTTCCGCATATTAAGGGAGCATTGCTGAAGGGATCAAACAAAATGCAGCCTCCAGTTACCAGTTACCAGTTCTCAGGCCTAAAGCATTTTATTTTTGAGTTGGTTGAAGTGTACATTTTGCGCTTTTGGTATCACCTGCGTTTACCTTTTCACAGTGAGAGAACTGTTTATTTAGACATTTCTTGTTTAACTTGAAATGGCACAATCGAAAAGTTCCAACGCGTGTAGGGCCAATTGTTGCGTCGAGTGTATCACCAAGGGGATTCAGTGCGATGGTTGTGGAGTGTGATAACACAAGAGATGCTTCCAATTAAACAAAGAGGAGTATCAGCTCCACATGGAGCATAATTCCTTTAAGTGGGTTTGCAAATACTGCGCAACACTAGTCGAGGAGTTCAGGAGAATTCTGAAGGCACCACTGGCTCCCCTAAATAAGTACAACAAAGAGAAACCGGAATGGGTTGCTTTTGCGTCATCCCTAAATAAAAGTACGGAAATAAGAAAAGCAGGAAACCGAAACAAGGAAGTTGGAAAACAGACCATAAGGCCTTTACAGGTTAAGAAGTTTGCGGTTGGACCTGAGGGACAGCCGAACTACCGGGAAATGGTGCGACGGATCGAGCAGTTAGAGAGAGGACTTAGCTGCTGCAAAAGAGCAGCAAAGTGTCGCTGTAAAGAACTAAGAACTTGCTCCTGCATAATTGCGCGAGAGAATAAATAAAATGGCGAAGCCGAGGCAAATAGCTGAGCATCGCCATGTGCAAAACAGGTTTAGGCTGGCAGGGTTGCTCCCTACACCCCATACATCAAGTGCCACAGAATTGACCTGTGGAAAGGGGAAAGCTCACGTGGTCCAAGACCTCTCCTAGTGGTGTTTCCAAACACTAACGTAAGTTACTTCAAAAGCACGCACAGGATCCCTAGGGTGACAGATAACCTTCCATCAATCGAAGGTAACTGCACGATGCCCCCAATCATTGTGGAAATTCTGGATGTGCAGCGGGAGTAAACAGGGCTAAGTGGTTTCAAGGCGGAGGGGCCTAACGGAATTGACCCAGCGATTGTACAACCGCTGGCTGACGTCACAGTAGAACCGATCTTCGAGTTATTTAAACGGTTGATTAGACTGGAAACTGTCGCGAATGACTGATGTAAATCTATAGTAGTGGCAATACACAAGTCTGGATCCCAGCAAAAAGGCGAGAATTACAGACCGGTAAGTTTGACATCGGTAATATGTAAGTGTTTGGAGCGGGTAGTTGGAAGACAAATATGCCACTACATGGTCAATAGCGGGCTGTTAGTATCAGCTCAAATTTCTTGAAAAGCGATCTTGTCTGAAAAATATGCTGGTGTTCCTAGACGAGGTCACACGTAGAATTGACGAGGGCCTACCGTTGGAGGTATGCTATCTGGACTTCCAGAAAGCATCCGACTCGGTCAGTCACCATCTGTTAGATCATAAGATGGAACTATTGGAAGTATATGGGCAAGTCAGGAGCTAGATAATTGGCTTTCTTGCACAAAGGACGTTTAGTGTCAAAGTAGGGGCTCACACATTCGAAGAGGAAGTGGTCACAAACGGCGTATCCCAAGGATCCGTACTTGGACCACTGCTGTTCCTGCTATACATTACCGACCTAGCACGGGATCTCCAAAATCCCTGTTTTCTGTTTGCAGATGACGTCAAGATAGCTGGATGGGA